GAGGATGATTTGGTGATTACATAATAATCACAATGCCTATCACCAATTTACACCATCATACCCACGAATAAAATAAAACGATATACATGCACCGGTAATTACATAATAATCACAATGCCTATTACCGAGTGCAAGTGAGAGGATGATTTGGTGATTACATAATAATCACAATGTCTATCACCAACTTATACCATCCCTCACAAAAGAAAACAAAAGAATGATCCTCCATGCCACTAGGCCTATTACATTCGAGTGGCACCCTCGAAAAGGTACTATAAACGTAACATGGATGAGTGTGTAAGCAAGTAGCTAAAAGATAACACATGTCTAGCAAATAGCAAGTTAAGTAGCCCCATAAACTCACATTGCTTTTTCGATACTCAAAAATTGAGCCAACTTATGCTCTACGTCCATATGTGTCTAAACATCGACCAACGGTCGCTCTGGAAGGACCAAGTGAGCTTATTTAATACTTGAAATATGTACCCAAAGTTTCATAACGATCCGACGACAAAAACTTAATCAAACTTTATTTAAACTCATTTTAGACACTATAATTCACAGCTCAAAATTAACCTTTTATCAGTTTTGAGACGCAAATATAACCAACCTAGAAGTCTTATTTCTAAAAAGTGTCTAAAGGACAGGTTTAGATCTACTTATGAGCTTTCTAAAATGTCTAGAATCGTAGCAATCCGAGCTACGGTTAAGAAGATATCGCACATTCAAAACAGCATCTCGGGTAGATTTGGTGTTGTCAAATTCACCAACTAAATAGGCTAAAATTCATATTTTGGATTCAATCTTTATTCCAACAATCAAAATACCATCTAACCATATTTATATTATTGATTACAAGATCAATAGTCAAGAATTTCACCAAAATAGCCATTAATGAAGAAATCGGAGGAATGATCCTCCATTTTACCAATAATAAACTCCAAACATGGAATATGAGGGTTTATAAAGTTTTATGCCCAAACTCACTTTGACCAAGTATTTTACCAAGCAAGTAATCACCTAGAGGCAAGGTATAAGACAAACATAACCCATAATTTCGATTAGTATAAAGCTTCTAAAAAAAAGAAGGGGTTGGATGAACTCACGTGTAAGATTTAGGAGAAATCCTAATTTCTCGGAATTAATCCGATAGACGCAAAGGAGGCGAAGAAAACAGGACAGCAGACTGTTGTTGCTGATACGGTGGGGGAGCAAGGCGATCAAGGTAGCAGTAAGTTTACCTACTGTTTGCTGTCACGGAGGAAGGCAGGATGATCAAGGTAACATGGTGGCTGCTGGTTTTAGACGAGGCACCACCGTCCCTTCTGCCTGGGGCTGTCCAACGCGAAGGAGATGCAGGGCGTGAATCGGTTTCCACTGTTAGGTGGGGTTTTGCCTCGGTTCAAGATGTAGGGATGAATACTCCGTCTTTTCTCCCTTATCGCTTTCCCTCTCCCTCTGCAGACTCCATTTCTAAAAGTGAAATCAGGTTTTTTTGACCCCTAAGGAGAAGAAAGGACTAGAAGGGAAAAGAGATTTTTACTAGAGAAAGGGGATAGGACAAAACCAAAAAGTAGAAAGTACCCCCCCCCCTCTTTTCTCTACTGAAACAAAGTCATACCCAAACCCCAAAACTTATCTTGTCAGAATAAAATTATAATCTAATATAATATAAAGGAAGTACATAACAAGGAAAGTCTTAAAAGGAATTAGAGTGACTAAGACTCTAACTAGGTGGGTAAAACATTTACCTCACTAATGAGACGAGAACCCATGATGCGCACGGAGTGGGGAAAAGGAAAATTTCGGGCGTTACAATCCTTCCCTCCTTGGATTCAATTTCGTCCTCGAAATTCTGTTCACTTGAAAAGGTGCGGGTAACGTTTCTTCAAATTCTCCTCCGCTTCCCAGGATGAGTGTACGCAGTAACATTAGCAAAATGTCTTCAGCGTCAAGCTAATATCTCGCCCCCGTCGGCAAGAGATATATCAGGGATTTACCCTGTAAATGTCACCCATAACCTTCAACCAGCAAGTTCAGACATAGAAGTTTATATACTAATACCTCCATGGACCCTAAAGAAGCTCAAACTAGCAACATATTCTTATTATTGAACAAGGCACCTCATCAGACAAATAGCAACACCTAATCCGTATGCTTAAAGCGAAGAGAAAATAGCGGTTCATGTAATATATTAAATAATTATATATGTATGCAGTATTTAATATAGGTAATACATATCTCGTAGTAATATTCAATAAAACATAAAGTTTCAAGTTCCGATATCAAAACATAAAGTTTCCATGATAAAGTCTCAAAATCAAAACATAAAGTCACACATACCGAGTCACAAACCAAATCACGGCAAATTGCACTGCGAAAAGCAGTACACGATTTTGCACCATGATGATGAAATTTTGTAGCGGTGAAGGACCACTAACCACTATTGACTGCCTAGCGCTTAAGGCCTCACCAATCCGGTGTAACAGCCGCGATGCGGGTGTGTCACTCGTCCCACATCGGTTGGGAAGGAGAACGAAGCACTCCTTATAAGGGTGTGGATACCTTCTCTAGTAAGACGCGTTTTGGGTGGGATACGAGCTTCGGTTCATGCCCATGCCAGGAGAAAACCGTGCGGCTACTGCTTTGTGGTATAGCGGGCAGGTTAGCCAAAGCGGACAATATCTTGCTACGGGGTTCTGGGGGCGTTACACTCGTTGTCCCGCTTGAACAAGTGCGCTCGCCGGTAATCTTTCCTCCTCGTTGTCCCGCTTGAACAGGTGCTCTCGCCGGTGCTCTCTCCTCCTCTTCCCCGCCTTCTCTCATCACTCAACAGGTAAAGACTTCCCTTTTCTTGAATGTGCTCTATCTTCCTCTTCGCCCCTTTCATTCCAATACTGAGTAAGAAGCATGTTGGCCCAACTGATTCAGTCTAGTTAATGTTAGGAATTCAGTCTAGCTAATTACAGGGCTGTGGAAGTGACAGTCAATTTCTACGTATTTAGTTCATATACAATTCAATTTGGCTTCTGTATGGTTTGAGTTCATGTACAGTTCAAATCCCTCCAAATCCTGCAAACCAAACACATGAATGGATTTTAAATCCAATCCAATCCAAATCAAATCCCATGGAATCCAAATCCCTCCTGGGAATCCAAATCTCTCAGAAACATTCCTGCAAACCAAACGCACCCTAAGAGTTAAAAATAAAAAAACAAACAAGATCTTATTTTAATGTAATTTTTGTATATTTATAAAGTGGTATTTTATAATTATTGTAAAAAAGAAAAGGTGTATAAAAATAGCATAATTGGAATAAGATGGTTGGGAGAAGGGTATTTGAGTAATTTACTCATGAAACAAACTTGATTCCACAACCATGGTTAGCCACTGGAAACTGACCATGGTTAACCCTAACAATGGTTAAGTGGTGGCAACTTTATCCTCTTTCTCTCTCTATAATGTTAATAACCCTCTCCCCAACCCCAGATTTATTTCTCTGCGTCTCTCTTCCGTCTGCCATCGGAAAATCTCTCTCTCACCGCCGTTCACCGTCATTGGTTAGTTCCGTCGCCGACATCAACGTTTCTCCGAACCGTTTCACAGTAAGTTTTTGGCAGGATTCGAGGTTTTAATTCCAGTTCGCGTTCCGTTTAATTAACATATTGCTGCTGTTTGATTTCGTCTGTCGATTATTGAAGAATCATTGTTTTTGTCTTTGCAGGAAATTGTTGATCGTTAAGCTTGTGAGAAGATCGGTGTTTGTGCTTCGAATTATTATCATAGGCAAGGAGTTTTTGCGTATTTAAAGTGTACAGGTTCTTAGGTATAAATTCAATTACAAAACACGCTAAGAAGATTTGATTACGAAAATAACTGTATTCTATTCTGGCTGAATACACAGTTAAATCAAACACGTGTTTGTGTGTTATGCAGTTTGAATTTGAACAGTCATTTCATTTGAATGGTTCTGGAGAATCTGTAAGAAGTTAATTGAGAGATTGATATTTGAAGGGGTCGAAAGGGTAAAAACTAGTGGACGAAGATCTATTTTGTTTTCTTTTGGGTATTTTTGTAGGACATGGTACCTGATTCGGGTTGAAATTAGTCCAAAGCTCTGGAAATGATATTGGGGGTGTGTTTTGTCGCACTCACGCGTAGTATCTTTCACATGGATGATATTTTACTTTCGAATGTTCTGAAGTTTGACCTATACTTTGGACAGAGAAAATTATCAAGCTAATTGAAGAACAAGTTGTAACTTCTATTTTGTTTTTCTCGTCCTTGTTTAGATTTTGATTCTAATATTACACATGGTGCATTTCGAAACTTTAACTTCTCATCTTTCTATATGCTTCACATAGAAAAACTTTTGGTGAAGGGGGGGAGGGATTAGGCAGAGCAATTTGTCTGGTAACGTTTAGTGGAAATATTGATGATTAAGTGTAGACCTTCTTTATATTGCAATACTCGTTTCTGGTTCATGATTGTTTCTGAATGTGTTTACATTTTATAGAAGTTGCCAAGCTAGCCGTTAAACTGAATCTTAATTTGCTCCATCGCATATATGTTGTTTGAATTAATCAGGACAATGTCGTTTTTAAGCGGATCTTTTCTTTTAAGTTGCTTTTATAGTTTAGAGGTCTTCACCTTTCACACTGTTTTACTACATTACTACCCACCCTGGTTACAGTGGAACATCTATTTTACTAGGGGAAAGAGGGGCGGTGTTTACTTGTAAATGAACCATGTCTGTCTCTTTAAACTTGAATTTCTTCCTCTTTTTGCTTTTACAATTTCCAGAAAATCAACCTGATTTCGAGTCTCCTTTGATTTAAGGTAGGTGTACCTTCCTGCCCTGTCTTTGCATTAAGCTGCCAAGTAATTTTTCTTATTTTTAGTCTGTGATACTCTTGGGTCACATGTAGCTAAGTATCTAAATCTATTTAGTCTAGTGTGTTATTTCCCATTGCGTTGTTTGTTCCTATCATTATAACCACAAAAGTGTTGAAGCATGAATTTTTTTTGGACTGTCGGAGGATTTGTAGGTGATATCTATAAGTAAACTATTGATATGCATCATACTTTAAAGCGTCTCTTGGTTTTTCAAGATTTCTAATCGTTCTTTATATGTATTCCGCCCAGCTTAGTACGTGGTTGTTAGTACTGTTAAATTTTAATCTTTCAGAATTGATTTGGTTCCTGGAACAGTTGTGGTGTTGTATCAAGGCACAATCTTTGGTAACTTATATTAAGCTTACCTTGATTTGAACATCTCGACTGTCTAGTTGCCAGCTAAAGAAGCACAGCCTGTAGTTTGATATCATGTGTAAGGCTCTATAACTATTGTTCATTTAGTATCTATAGCATATGGTCTGTCTTAATGTCAGGTATTGTGTTTAATCTACTTGAGCACTATGGCCACTACCATCATTATTTTCGTTCCAAAATTGTCATGCCACAGTACCATCCGAATCAATTTGCTGTACCTATCTATTACTTTTCTGATTTCTTGATCCGTGTTTACACGGTGGTGTGGATGATTGAATATCTAATTCCTGGATGTTAGTTAACCCTACTATGGGAATAGTCTTTTCTCACACCTGTACTTTTTGTTGAATGTTCTGCAGGATTGTTGAACCAGATATCCTTTTTGAGGGCATGCTTTTGTTTGTTCAGCAAAGCTGTATGATCAAGTAAAAAAAGTACCACTATTAGTAATAATGGCATCAAAATCATGTGCAAACATTTTGGATTTGATTCCTGATAAGCTATTGGATATCCCTCAAATCCCCAGATCTCTTCCACGGGTGATGACCCTACCTGGGGTTATCAATGGCTATGATGGGGATTCAGATAGTATGTCATCTAGTTGTCGTGAAAGAAAAATCATCGTGGCGAATATGTTACCTTTGCATATTCAGCGGGATCCAGATACCCTGAAGTTGACCTTCAGTTTTGACGAAGACTCACTCTTATGGCAACTAAAAGATGGGTTTTCTCCTGAAACCGAGGTTGTATATGTAGGTTCATTAAAGGTTGAAGTAGATGTTAGTGAGCAGGAAGAAGTTGCTCAGAAACTGCTGGATGAATTTAATTGTGTTCCCACTTTTCTTCCACATGACCTTCACAAAAAGTTTTATGCTGGATTCTGTAAACAGCAATTATGGCCCCTTTTTCATTACATGCTTCCCATGTGCCCCGACCATACTGATCGCTTTGACCGCCTTCTCTGGCAGGCCTATGTGTCTGCAAATAAAATATTTGCAGATAAGGTTATGGAAGTTGCTGACCCAGAGGATGATTACATCTGGGTTCACGATTATCATCTTATGATTTTACCTACGTTCTTAAGGAAGCGCTACAATCGAGTCAAGCTTGGGTTTTTTCTTCATAGTCCCTTTCCTTCATCAGAGATATACCGAACTCTGCCTGTGAGAGACGAAATTCTTAAAGGACTTCTCAATTGTGACCTCATTGGGTTTCATACATTTGATTATGCACGACATTTTTTGTCATGCTGCAGTAGAATGATGGGCTTGGATTATGAATCTAAGCGGGGACACATTGGACTCGATTACTTTGGTCGCACGGTGTACATTAAGATTCTTCCTGTAGGCATCCATATGGGACGGCTGAAATCTGTGTTAAATCTTCCAATCACATCCAATAAAGTCAAAGAGATAGCTGAACGTTATAAGGGGAAAAAACTGATAGTCGGGGTTGATGACATGGATATATTTAAAGGCATCAGTCTTAAGTTGCTAGCCTTCGAATATCTCTTGCAGCTGCATCCTGTGCTGCAAGGTAACCTGGTTCTGATCCAAATTGTGAATCCTGCAAGGAGTTCAGGAAAAGATGTGCAAGAAGCAAAGAGGGAGACCTATTTAATCGTAAATAGGATCAATGAGACGTATGGTTCACCTAATTATCAGCCAGTGGTTCTGATTGACCGCCCTGTTGCCCGTTATGAGAAGTCGGCTTATTATTCTATGGCTGATTGTTGCATAGTCAATGCTGTTAGGGATGGAATGAACTTGGTACCTTATAAATACCTTGTTTGCAGACAACATTCACCTCATTTGGATCAAGATGTCGATTCGGAAAAGGTATCATCTCGCACAAGCATGTTGGTTGTGTCTGAGTTTGTCGGCTGTTCACCATCACTAAGTGGTGCTATAAGGGTCAACCCATGGGATATAGAATCTGTGGCTGGAGCTATTAGTTCTGCTATAACCATGAAGGATTCAGAGAAGCAATTGAGGCATGAGAAGCACTATCGATATGTAAGCTCCCATGATGTGGCTTATTGGGCTCGTAGCTTTATGCAAGATTTGGAGAGAGCATCCAAAGATCACTATAACAAGCGTTGCTGGGGTATCGGTTTTGGCCTGGGTTTTAGAGTTGTTTCTCTTTCTCCCAGTTTCAGAAAACTGTCTCCCAACTATATTGTCTCGGCATATAGAAGGTCAAGCAGACGGGCGATATTTCTGGATTATGATGGTACACTTGTTCCACAATCATCTATTGTAAAAACCCCCAGCGATGAACTTATTTTAATTTTGAGCACACTGTGCAATGATCCTAAGAACACCGTGTTCATTGTTAGTGGACGAGGAAGAAGCTCTTTAAGCGAGTGGCTTGCTCCTTGTGAGCGGCTAGGTCTAGCCGCTGAACATGGGTATTTTACAAGGTACTTAAGGCAACGTTGTTTAACCAGCTTGTTACATATATATATATATATATATATATATTGACACCATGATGATCATGCAAAAACTTGGCACTTTTGCAGGTGGGGTGGAAATTCTGACTGGGAATCCAGTCTCCCAGCTGCAGATCTTGAGTGGAAGGAGATTGTAGAACCTGTGATGAAATTATATACGGAGGCGACTGATGGTTCCAACATTGAGATCAAAGAGAGTGGTCTGGTCTGGCACCACCAAGATGCTGATCCTGACTTTGGTTCTTGCCAAGCAAAGGAGTTGTTGGTGCATTTAGAGAATGTGCTCGCTAATGAACCAGCTGTCGTTAAACGTGGCCAACACATAGTTGAAGTTAAACCTCAGGTATCTTTACGTCTTTCTCTATTTCTAAGCATGTAACAATAGATTTATCAACTTTTTATACGCCATCTGACTATATGCTTGAGATTCCTAGTCTTGTACGAGCACAAATGAAAGTGCCATAAGTATCCTGCTCGTGTCCTAGATTTATTAAAATTTTATGCGCTATCCGACTTTGTGCTTAAGATTTGTAGTCTTGAACAAGCACAAATGAAGGTGCCATAAATCTGGCACCTGCTGATTTCAGTGATCTAGAACTCTTGGAACTCTTATAATTGATGATTACTTGCAAAATGAACCAACCCAAACCAAACAAACCCAGTATCGAAAGCAGGGTTTGGGAGGGGTGGGGTGTATGCCGTATAAAATTGGTCCATTTCGTAGAGATTACTTCCAATTCACTTAGTGACTGTTTGGTTGGTTTTCCATTAAGTCTTGTATGGATAAAGTTGTCTGTGTAGATTAATCTGTCTTTATAGATTGAGAAGGTTTTTGTTTGGGAGGGTTTTCCATACGTGGAAAGAGCGTGTTTTTTAATTGAGAGGGGAAGGTTTGGAAAAAAACCTTGGCTTTTTGCATAAAGCTCCCCCTAGAAGCTTACTGAATAAGCCAGTTTATATATTATTAAGCCACTATCAAACAATCATGTGTAGTTGACCAGATAAGCTGCAAGTCTCGTTAGGCTGCTATTAGAATAACATCATATGAAGAAGGCAAGGGGTAATCTGGACTTTTGCTTTTCCAGGGTGTGAGCAAAGGATTAGTTGCAGAGCAAATTCTATCAAGCATGGTCGAAAAAGGAGAAGCTCCAGATTTCGTGACATGTATAGGCGATGACCGATCAGACGAAGACATGTTTGAAAGCATTAGGAACACAATTTCAAGTCCGGAAATATTTGCTTGTACGGTGGGGCGGAAACCTAGTAAGGCTAAATACTACCTGGACGACACTGGGGACGTGATAAAATTGCTGGGAGGGCTTGCTAACGCTTCGGATCCAAAACCTGGTAACACGGCCCGATTCCAGGTTACTTTTGATACCATTTTTTGAGATATAGCAGCAAAACATGTACAGTTTGTGTTTTAGGATTTAGGATGAAATCTTTAACTTGGTCTGGTGTGCATACTGCTAAAACTTGGGCATTTGGGGAGAACATTTTTTATGTACAGCTACTCTTTTGCTTCTATAAAAGCTTTTCACTTTTCTAATTTTGGGCCAGATTGTGTTATTATCTTGATGATAATGGTTGGGAAGCCACTAAAAAAGGAAGCCCAATAAGGCCACAAAGGGAAGGGAGGCCTTGGATGTTTTGCATTTGCCGGAACCGATAGGCCCAGATTGACCCATCCCAAACTGGTCTTAGACCGGTATGGTTATGGATCAACGGTTTGGGACCAGTTTCACTTTTAATGAAAATTTAAGCCTGGCTCTGCCCGAGACTGGGCCGGTTATACATAGGCCTAGGTTTTTAAAAGTTTAAGTTTGTGTAAATTACATATCTAAGTTTTTCAAGATTTCAAAGTTTTTTTTTTTACCAAAAACTTTTTATTTATTTATTTAAAGTTCTTGAAGTTTTTTGAAGTGCTCTAGTACTAAATTTAAGGGAAAATTTGTATTAAGAATGAAACCAACTTTGGGTTGATTCTTATTTTGGAGAGTAAATAGTAAAAACCTTAATTTTAGGGTTTGGAACAAAGTTTTTGTTTATTCAAGGGTTTGTTTCACCTGGTGACCTACTAATGATGACGTGTCTTAGGCAAATGTCAACTAATATCTCATGTTGTATTATGTAATTCCACATCATATTATAAAATTAAATATATTCGAATATTTAAAAAAAATTATTGAATAATTAGAAGCTAATTAATATACAAACATTTGTAATATAGTAAAAAAATAAGAACCAAATAAATAATAATACAAATAAGCAAAATCAAAACCCTACCCTCTAAATAACAAATAATAATAATCCAGCTTCCAGCCTCTTAACCTGAAACTCTAATCTGAATGTTCGACGACTAGATTTCTATGGTGTTATTTTCATCTTAATTGATAAAACCTCTGACGAGTTCTTTCGACTTTCTTGTCGCGGGTTTTTATCTTCATGGTTTGATGCAGGGATTAGAACATTGAAAAAAGTATGAGAACAAAGAAATTGAGATTTACCGTTAAGTTTAACAAATCCATACGATTGAGGTGGTTCTGTGGCCGGAAAAGGTGAATCAGGAGGAGGAGAAAGGTGGCTGCCAATAATGGTGTTAATTTTATTTTATAAATGACTTAGGGGGTGGTTGGGATCACTTATAAAAATAATTTATTGACTTATTTTAGTGTGATATCGGTAATAAACACTTTTGAGTGTTTGGATAAACAACTTATATCGGTGCCAAACCGGTAATAAGGAGTTTTTGAAGAAGTTAAATCATTCCAACTTATGATAAATTGATAAACATTTTTGTAAAAAAACATAAGTTATTTCAAATTAACAATCTCAAACACCCCCTTATATATTATGTAAGTTTTTAATTTATTCATTTTTTGCCATGTCATTTAATAAAGACCGGTTACCTATTCAACAAGTAAACAAGATCTTTAAATAAATTAAAAGGTGGTTTCAAACCCTAAAATGAATTTTTTTAAAGTTTGTTTTCTAAAGTAGGAATTAACTCAAAGTTAGTTTCAATTTAATACAATTTCCCAAATTATAATTATGACAACATCTATAATATTTTTGTAGAAAAAGGATTTAAAGTATATTTGAATTATTCAATTAAAAAAATTGAAGTGTATTTCAATAAGATACTATAATAAAAAAAATCTTCAAACAATATTTTTTAACAAATAAAGATGACTAACAAAAAAGATATATATGTATATGTAACCCATCATATTTGTACAACCAATACAACCCAATCAATTGAGATATTAATAAAAATAATAAAAATTTATTTATTATGATTTAAATATTTATGAAATATAAATAACGTTTATTAATTATGATCAATACTTTATATTATGAAACAATCAAAATTTTTATGGAATCACATATTCATCAAATTAAAATGAACGATTAAGATTGAGTTATATTAATTATACAAATGTAAAAGATTGCATAATAATTCACCTTTATCTCTCTCTATATAATTATTAGATTTCCACTAAATTCAGATTTTGTTTGAGACTCATGATTTAGAATCTTGACCACATAAGTTATATTGATCTTTTTTCCCAAAAAGGAGCACTCATCCATCCTTTTCATCATGCACATCCCCAAACAACCCC